AAAAAGCCAAATAGGTATCCTTCAGAGTTGGGAATAAGGATAACCTTCAAAAAAAAAAAAAAAAAGATTGCCTTTTAACGTCTTTTTAAGAACATCTATGTTTTTTGAGAATGATGATTTATTATTTTTGAACTGGAAAAAAAAAAACATGTATTAAACACCTAGGAAAGAAAACACAAGAAGGAAATACAGTGAACCAAAATCCAAGGTTCATTTGGTGAGATGGGATCACGAGTGTTCTCCTGTTCTTTCAATTATGTTCCCTGTCATATATTTTTCTGATAATGAGCATATATATTTTTATAACTAGGATATAATGAGCTCAATTTAAAAATATAGAATCCTTTGTCCTTGTTTTCAGTTTTATTATCTGACACAGGGAGTTGGGTGGAACATTCACAAAACAGTTTAAAGTTTAGGAATCAGCTCAGGGGTTGGCAAATGTTTTTTTTTTTAAATATATATATATATTTTAATTTATTTATGATAGTCACACAGAATGAGAGAGAGAGGCAGAGACACAGGCAGAGGGAGAAGCAGGCTCCATGCACCGGGAGCCCGACATGGGATTCGATCCCGGGTCTCCAGGATCGCGCCGCGGGCCAAAGGCAGGCGCTAAACCACTGCGCCACCCAGGGATCCCGGCAAATGTTTTCTATAAAGAGTCAGTAAATATTTTAGGTATTGTGGTCCATATGGTCTCTATCACAACTATTCAGTCCTGCTTTTGTGGCAGGACAATGGATATAGACAGGAAGTAAATGAACAGGAGTGGCTGTGCTCTAAAAAAACTTCAATGATGGATATACTGACCTTGGAATTTCATCTGATTTTCATGTGTCACAACGTCTTCTTTTGATCACCTTTCCCCAACCTCAACCATCAAAAATGTAAAACCATCTTCAGGCTGTGCAAAAAAAAAGTGGCAGGCTGGATTAGGCCCACAGGCCACGATTTGCTGATCCCTAAATCAGATGAAATCAAGAATGTGATGAATGAAACATCCCACGTTATGCTGAAAGACCTCAACAGAGATGGCCAACAAACTATGTTAATTTTTATTTTATCGTGTTTATTGTAATCTGTGATTTCTCTGCATCTTTTTTTTTTCCTTTCCTAAGATTTGCTACTCATGTGGATGTCTTAGGAAAAAGATACCATGCCATTTTGTTGAAACATTAATATAGGAGCAGGATGACCTGAAAAAAGACAATGCTAATGTGAATTCAGGTCTACATATATTGAACCTTTTCTGTGCTAGACATTTCTGGAAAAAAACCCATAAATAACACATACCCTGGGATCCCTGGGTGGCGCAGCGGTTTAGCGCCTGCCTTTGGCCCAGGGCGTGATCCTGGAGACCCCGGATCGAATCCCACGTCGGGCTCCCGGTGCATGGAGCCTGCTTCTCCCTCTGCCTGTGTCTCTGCCTCTCTCTCTCTCTCTCTCTGTGTGTGTGACTATCATAAATAAATAAAAATTAAAAAAAAATAACACATACCCTTATGCAGGAATTGTAGGGGCATATGCAGAATATTATAGAATCACACAGGAAGGAGAGTAATTACACTGATGGAAGATGACTGTGTTTATATGATTGTGTTAAAAATTGGTAAGAAACAAGCTGGTAGGAAGAGTTCTTAAGCAGGTGTCATGGAGGGATCCCTGGGTGGCACAGTGGTTTGGCGCCTGCCTTTGGCCCGGGGCGCGATCCTGGAGACCCGGGATCGAGTCCCACATCGGGCTCCCGGTGCATGGAGCCTGCTTCTCCCTCTGCCTGTGTCTCTGCCTCTCTCTCTCTCTCTGTGACTATCATTAATAAATAAATAAATATTAAAAAAAAAGAAATTTAAAAAGATTTTATTTATATAAAAAAAAGCAGGTGTCATGGAAAAAATGTTGCAAAAAGTCATTTAAAAAACAGAAGATTAAATCATTAGGCACTACTATTGAAAAATTAGCTTTGTGGAAATCAAACCTTTTTAACAGTAACAAATAAGAGAAAGGCCTTTTGAAACCTAATGAAGGGAAACCTTACTAAAGTCTGGAGGCTAGTAGTGGGAGCCAAACCATTCATCTGCAATTACAGGAAAAAGTGTCAGTTAACAGACTCCTATAGAAGAAACCTCAAGAAGAAAGAATCATCACAGCCCCTAACACAGAAAAGGTATACACTGCTTTCTATGAGAAAATGACTAGCCCTGTGGTGCTCAGGTGGCTCGGTCAGTTAAGTGTCTAACCCTTGGTTTTGGATCAAGTCAAGATCTCGTGGGTTGTGAGACTGAGCCCCCCTGATGGGCTCAGCAAGGAGTCTGCTTGAGATTCTCCCCCACTATCTCTGTCTCTTCCCCCTTGAACATTTTCTCTTTCTCTAAAATAAATACATCTTTAAAGAAAAAAAAAATGACTACCCCTGTACTCAACCAATGAGAAACCATGCTTTTCTGCAATGAACGTTGGACTTTCCTTAAAAATAATCCTTCCCAACTTCCTCCTTCTCCGTAACATGTTGTTCCTCTCCTTTGTTGGACTTGCCTATGGTTTTTCTGCAGCTTATAAGTCTTGAATTACAAATCTCTACTATTCATGAATAAATTCATTTTGCTGGTGAATAACTTGTAAGATTAATAGGCTTTATAAAAAAAATTGTCCTGGAGAATATCAAAATGCTGTGGGCTGAAGACAGCAACTTTTTTCATGACGTACAGCACCATTAGTCTTGTCTTTCACTCCTAGAAAACCTTCTTTAGATTACTTCCTGTTATTGCAGCAAAAATACCATTTAGTGAGTGAAATCACATGTGGTTGCTTCTATCATAGACAACAGAAGTTGCAGAAAATAATTGGAAGACCAATTTCTAAAATTATGCAGAAAGGAAACAAATGAAACTAAACAAGTACTGGTTTGGGACAATTTGTACATTATGAGATGCCAGTGTTTATTAAGCTAGTGGGCAAAGGTGTTTTCTTTTAACAAATTCATGTTTTCTTTTTGAAATTTTATTTGTTTGAGGGACAGAGAGAGAAAGAGAGAGAGCAAGAGCAGCAGAGAGATGCAGAGGGAGAGGGAAAAGCAGGTTGAGCAGGGAACCCAACCATGCAGGCCAATCCCAGGACCTCGGAATCACCAGAGCTGAAGACAGATGTTTAAGCAACTGAACCACCCAGGTACCCCTCATATATATATATTTCTAAATGCATCCTTCATTCCCCACACCATAGATGACTAAATTCACATTTTTGCTGTACCTACTGTGGCTCCGCCTAAAATAAACAAATGTGTAGGGGCACCTGGGTGGCTCAGTTCACGATCCTGAGATCCAGCCCAAGCTCCCTGCTCAGTGGGGGATCTGCTTCTACCTCTCCCTCAGCCTGTCCTCCCTTGTGCGCTCTCCCAAATAAATAAAATCTTTTTTAAAAAAATGTATAAATGGACAAGCTCATTCCATACAAACTATCCAAATTCTAACCTAGAATTTCTAAGGGCTGGGAGGTCAGAGTAAGGGTCAGTAGCACTGCTGCTTCTTGAACTACTTTATCTCTGTGTAATTTTAGTTGCAAGCAGCAACCCTAGACGCTAGGTACCTCTGAAAAATGGGTGCCTTGGAGTCCTCCTAAGAGCATTCAAGAAAAGGAAGCTTTTCACAATCATTCTTTACGCCTGAATTGCTACCTTGCTAGGAAATGCGGCGTCAAGGATGCGGAAGGCTGTTTCACCCTCATTTTGAAAACACGGTCTTTTTGTTGCTGAGGAATGGTATGCTTTTATGCGTTACAGTACAGAAACGTGAACGGGGAGGGTTAACCAAACACCATCCGGACTTTTAAAGTAGTTTGAAACCTCTTGCAACCAGCTCGGCTCCAGGACAGAAATCTGCATTCTGGCTTCAATTCCAGATGGCCTGCTAGCTGCAGTCCCAATTTCAAGCATTTCATCATGCAAGAATTATTTATGTATGTATTTATGTATGTATGTATTTAAGATCTAAGCAAGAACCTTCCATTTAAAAAAATACTGCAGTTCTTCAGTCTTCTTAGTATAAAGCACACGTCCGTGGCATGATCGCAAGCAGCAAGGGGTCAGAGATGGCCGAGCATTTTTGCAAAGCCCGAGCTTCCTCCACCCAGTACTCTTCGGGGTGTCTCAAAAAAATATTCAGATAAAAAAAAGGGAGTGTCATCTGCTCTAGCGTTATCAGCGACGAACAGCACTGGGCGGCCTACTTGGAGCAAACGCCAAGCGCGGCCCTTCCAGCGCCGGGCCCCTGACGGCCGCGCCAGACGCCAATCCCCGCCCCTCGGCCCCGCCCCTCGCGGGTGCAGGGCGCCGCGGCGGTCCCCGTGAAGGAGCCCCGGCCCCGCGTAAACTTCCGGCTCCGCGGAAATTTCCCTCCCCGGGTCCGACGGGGAGGGCCCAGGGGCGGTCCCGGAAGTGACGCAGGGGCGCGCCCTCCATTTTGTGGAAGGCAGGAGCAGCTAAGTGCGTCAGTTGTGGAGAGGCGTAGACGATTTTAGTCCGGGTCTGCGGGGAGGCAGACAGCTCCGTCGCAGACTACGGACCTCTCTGGTCTCAGCTGCCAAAGATCCTGTCCGGTAGGTGAGTGGCTCACTTTGAGGGAAAGGCTTCTCGGATCGAGGCTTCTTCATGGCCGCTCAGATCGCGAGTGGCCAGGGCTGCTCTCTTTGCGGAGGACGGCGTCCAATGAGCGCAGTTTATTCGAGGTGGGCGCTGGGGCACGTCTCCCTTTGGGTGTCGTTTGAGGGGGAACCGAAGGTGGAAGGGCGGTCCTGGTTCTGGTGGTTGATACACAGGGGTAGTGTGCCCCTCCCCGTCTCCTTACCTCTTCACTACCGAACCCCCCCGAGTATCGGGCCGAGACCTTTGCTCGGGGTGCGGTCAGGGCCTTCTGCGGGCGGGCACATGACTCCGGAACTGTGGAGTCCGGGGAGGGGGGAGGGAGAAGGGAGAAGGGCGTTTGGCACGCGCGGCTGTCCCCACCGCTGGCTCCGCCGCCGCCATTTTGTGGCTGCCAGCGTCCGCTCGCCGCCGTCTGCGCAGGCGCGGCGGTGGCGTCGCGAGATTCCGGCTTCCACCCGCTGTGACGTTCCTGGGAGGCGGCGACGCGCGCGCGGCCAGTCGCCATTGGGCTGGCCTTGCGAAGGGCGGGGTCGGCTCCGCCCGCACTTCTCGGCCTTTCCTAACTGCGGCAGATGGGAGGGGGCCAGAAGAGCCGGGGAGAGAGTGCGGCTGCGCAGTTCCAGAGGCGGCAGTGGGCGTTGCGGTTGCTGCGGTCTGGGCCCAGGGAAGGATCGTGTTGGGAGCCGAGTTTTAATTTTGTCTGCAAGGGACCTGGCCTAATAAGAGGCACTCTTGGCAATCTTGTTTATAACATCACCGGGTAAACATTTTATTTTATGCCGTTTATGTTTTTGACCCCTTGACCAGGCATTCTTTCGACATTCACTGGTATTGTCTCAATTGAATTATTTTGTAACAGAAAATAATAGCCGGACACCATGAGCGGCTGTCGAGTATTCATCGGGAGGCTAAATCCAGCGGCCAGGGAGAAAGACGTGGAAAGATTCTTCAAGGGGTATGGACGAATAAGAGATATTGATCTGAAAAGAGGCTTTGGGTTTGTGGTAAGTATTGACCGTTGGTGGTTTAGAACTACTGTTAAGTCGGTAAAGATCTTGATAAGTAGTGTCTTGGTTTCCACTGAAGTTCAGGTAGGGTATTTTTAAGGGATAAAAGAACCTCGCTGTTGGAGGGAACCACTCCTGATCACTTCTCAGTTCAACTTGTGTACGTGGCACTGTTCTTAAGATACTCATCCTGCCACAAGGTTTTAGTGATTTTTAATATGTTGTAGAACACGCTTTAGAGCCACGTTAAGCACTGTTTTTTCATGTTTACGTATTAGGAATTTGAGGATCCCAGGGATGCGGATGATGCTGTATATGAACTTGATGGAAAAGAACTCTGCAGTGAAAGGTGAGAAAGTTAGTTTTGTGTAACTATTTAGGACTGTAAGATAGACAGCTGGGTTATTTCAAAGTAGATCTCACGTGCATTGGGTGGATAATAAAGCTTTTTTTTTTTCCCCACCTCCCTGTAGGGTTACTATTGAACATGCTAGGGCTCGGTCTCGAGGTGGACGAGGTAGAGGACGCTATTCTGACCGTTTTAGTAGTCGCAGACCTCGAAATGATAGACGGTATGTGATGGATGGTGTATGGCTGCTTTGAACAATCATTACTTCAGGAGGAGTTTTTAATGTTTAAGAACCATTAGCAATAGGTGACTCGGAAACTTACCGTGTAATCATTTCTATCATTCTTACGTTGGTCCACTGTTCCTGATTAACGTGTGTAGTAAGTTGTATAAGTAATTCAGAGAAGCTTGATGGAAGTCATTCGAATGACTTGTTCTTTCTGATTGCTTGAACTTGCCCACAGTCGAACACAGTAGGTGCATACTGCTGCATTTCTTCCATTGTGAGTACTCATTTTCTTCCTCAGAAATGCTCCACCTGTAAGAACAGAAAATCGGCTTATAGTTGAGAATTTATCTTCAAGAGTCAGCTGGCAGGTTTGTTGAAACACAGTTTTGAGCTATTTTAATGTGGCTTTTTAAAAATTAATGGGTAGTTAATGTTTTATTATGTTTTATTAAAAGTAATTTTATATTTAATTAAATTAATGGATTTAATTGTAATTTTAAATTTTTAGTTAAATGTAATTGGGGGATATTTTCAAGTTTTAATATTAGTGATCAAATGTTTAATGTTTTGAGGATATTTTTTCTTGTTTTTTAAAATCAATTTTAACCAAATATTAAACCCTTTATTTGCCAGCCTATCTGTGTCGTTGGCCTTATGACGAGGAGTGCCTGTGGGTTATCCTAATCGTTGTCTTGGTCACTCTTGGTTGGGCCTGGTTGACTTTGCCAGTCAGCTCCTACAGTGATCAATTGGCCACCTCTAGATCTGTGTTTGCCGGTCTAGACGTAATCGGTGCACTTACTTGAAGTGCCAGGTTGCAGCGATCCCAGAGCGTTGATAACGTGATCTGATCCCTAAGTTGAGAGCTGTCTTCCTGTAACGCTTCCGAATAAGAGGTCCTGGTCGAAAAGAGTTGAAAGATACGAAATTAGGTGGTCGTTGGAATCCTGATCGCAGTAAAGTGGTCCTTGGTAACTGCACAAGAGTAGAACATGTCTGCATCCGCCAGTAGTCTGCTAATAGGGAGGGCTGTGCGATTAAAGGCTTCCATCGATTGGGTAGTGTCCTTCAAGTGGGTGGCGAAGAGCCAGTCGGGCATATGTCATGAAGGTTTCTCCGACCGATTAATGGTTTGCTGCTTGACTAGCCTAGGGAAATAATAATAAAGGTAAAGTAAACTTTTTTAATGACATATGGGGCACAAAATAACTGGTGTCTTGTAAATGTTCTGTTTTTTTTAAATATAAAATTTCTACTTTAGTCTTTACTTTTAAAATATGTACTGTTTCTTTTTGTTTTGTTTTTGTTTTGTTTTGTTTTTTTTTTCTTTTGTATTGAGCTCAATATAGACTAATACTACTTTAATGTTAAAATCTGAATTTCTTCTGGCATTTTGCTTAAAAGCAATATGCTCTTTGCTTATTTCGTGCCCTGGCATAGTTAATTTTTGAATTCTGATAGAATACAAGTGTGGTAAATGCCATGTTTGTACTTTATCTAACATCTTCTCTTCCAGTAGTCTTGTTTTTTATACAATGTGGTTGTTTGTGTGTCCGGTTTCCTTTTCTTTGCTTGACATAATTGTCTTGTGTTAAGGATCTCAAAGATTTCATGAGACAAGCTGGGGAAGTAACCTTTGCGGATGCACATCGACCTAAATTAAATGAAGGGTGAGTGTGTACTGAAGATCCATAGCCTTTTAAAATCTGCTGAAAATGTTACTGTGAACGTTTTCTGAAAACTTAGAATTTGTACATGCTAGAGTGCAGTGGTACTCAGTCGAGGATGAATTTGCTCTGTAGGAGGCATTGAACCACATTTTTAGTTGTAACTGGTTGAGGGTGCTACTGGCTTCTTGTGTGTTAGAGGCCAGGGATGCTGCTAAATAAACATCAACAATGCATAGGAAAAGCCCTCCACAGCAAAGAACTATCTAGCTTAAAATGTCAGCGGTTTGAAGGTCAAGAAACTTTATGCTGTTATCAAGATCTAAGAGTCTTAATACAGTAGTAGTAAAAGGTACATAGAAAAGGTAATGTAGCTACTTGGATTGCTATGTGTAGTTTGAGACCAGACTACCAGATGTATATGATTTGACAAATGGTTTTTTTTTTTTTTTTTCCCATTGTAGGGTGGTTGAGTTTGCCTCTTATGGTGATTTAAAGAATGCTATTGAAAAACTTTCTGGAAAGGAAATAAATGGGAGAAAAATCAAATTAATCGAGGGCAGCAAAAGGCACAGGTATCTAACATATTTAAGAAAAAGTTTTAGTTAGTGGGTTTGTAGGGCCTGCCACTTACGTTGTATTTTGTTTTTTGTTTTCCTTCCTAGTAGGTCACGAAGCAGGTCTCGTTCCCGGACCAGGAGTTCCTCTAGGTCTCGTAGCCGATCTCGTTCCCGGAGTCGCAAGTCTTACAGCCGGTCCAGGAGCAGGAGCAGGAGCCGGAGCAAGTCCCGTTCTGTTAGTAGGTCTCCTGTGCCTGAGAAGAGCCAGAAACGTGGTTCTTCAAGTAGATCTAAGTCTCCAGCATCTGTGGATCGCCAGAGGTCCAGGTCCCGATCCCGGTCAAGGTCCAGATCAGTTGACAGTGGCAATTAAACTGTAAATAACTTGCCCTGGGGGCCTTTTTTAAAACAAAACAAATTCCCAAACCATACTTGCTAAAAATTCTGGTAAGTATGTGCTTTTCTGTGGGGGGTGGGGTTTGGAGGGGGGTTGGGTTGGGCTGGATATCTTTGTAGATGTGGACCATCAAGGGGTTGTTGAAAACTAATTGTATTAAATGTCTTTTGATAAGCCTTCCGCTCACATTTTTGTGAATGTCTGAAGTGTATAGTTTGTGTATATTGAGAGAGCTCTTTTATAACTAAAGCAAATTTAATTTTTTTGTACTAGAAAAGATTTGAACATTTTAGTTCTTGGTTATTCAAATATGTTAATTCAGAATTAGTTTAATGCCTCAATTAAACTAATTAATAGCTTTGGACATTTAAAAGAGCTCTAATTTTGCTTGTACATAAAGGCTTGAGTTTTCCTTGTTAAGGGTTAAGGGTGTCCTCCCACCCACCCTTTAACAGCTGCCTGACAAAGACGTTAAAGCAGCTGTTGTTATTGATAATAAAAGATTATAAAATTGCTTTTGTCTGTTTATCTGAAGGATGTATGCTCGTTATTCCCTACCCACCTATGTTCAATACATTTAAAATGCCTGGTAGAGAATCCTGGAGTTTGGTGGATTTTTAAAGATTTTTTTTTTGAAATTTAGATCTTAATCTTCTTGGCCATTTCCAGGCTGGTCGAAACAAGGGCAGAGAAGTCTGAGAACTATTGAAAATGATAGTTCAAGTTTCCTGCCTGTGACCCTACCATGCTTTTTCCCTGTATTACTTAATCATATTGGCATCAGGTTATTTAGGCTTCCATAGCCAAGAGAAGAATAATTTGGGAAGCAAATTGTAAAAGTGAATGTTTTATGCTTATTTTAAAGGTTGTAATACCATTTTGAAGGTTAGAGATGATCTTACAAAGTCAGTGCGCAAGTATGCTTGAAGAGGTTGTGCGTGTTTTTTTTCTTTGAACGATGAGCTGTGGATGTGAGAATATGTTAAGGGGAAACTTGAATAAGAAAAGTGTTTACGGTTCTATATCTATCTTTGTTCTGGGATCCCTGTACCTTTAGATAATGAGCTTTATTACTGTCTCTTCTAGTCTTCCCAGAGACTGCTTAGATTTTCTTAGTCTTCTATGGGAATGCTAGGTTGGATAGATGTTTGGTATCATGAGTGGTGTGTAGTAGCCAGATACCATTATAAAATATCTTCCCTTATGTTCACTGAATCTTCACAACTTCCTTGTACATAATCATCATTGTACGTGAGAATTCAGGGCCAAAGAAGAGCAGCACGTAAATGGTGGACTGGTATTGGAATTGAGGAACTCTAGTTTCCCAGAACCTTAAAACCACATTTTCTATTCATGTATACTAATCTGCCCTAGCTTTTAAGGGATTTCTGAGGAAAGAATTAGAAGGACCAGAAGGATTGCTTTTGGCTTTCCAAAAGTGTGGGGATTGGGTAGTAGGGATCCATTTGGGGGTAGGCTTGAAAAGTTGTACATTTGTTATCGTATCCCAAGACTATAGATGCCTAAGCCATGAAATGGGGAAAACTGATCTTTCTGCCATGAATGAGGTGGATTTTAGGGAGATTTTGAGTGTTTTACACTTGTTTATTCAGGGTGAGACAAGACAGTGGAACCTAGGGGTTTTTTCTTTATTAGGTTTTTGGGAAAGCTGCAAGTCAGCCAAATTTGCTTCCAAAAGGAAAAAAGCCTTTTTTTTTTTCCTCTTAGGCTTTTATGTGTAACTGGGTAGTAGGATGTATGTACTTTTTGATATTTTAGTAGTTGACTATTCTGGTTTTTTCTCCTTTCTTTACTCCTAAGTAGACAGATATGCATGGCTTGGCATTTTAATATTAGCTACTACACAGTAAAGCACTAAAATAAGGCCCTTTGAGCAAATGGCAGAGATGAACGGGAGTTGGTTTGAACCAACACATTAACATGAATTCCCAGAAGAGGACTCTCGTAGGAGTAGGAGTCTGAGTATAATCCTAAGCAAAGTTTTAGGGCCAGCTTTTGTGTGACATAGTGTCACTTATATTTTCTTTCTGTATTCTTTTTATCTAGTTGTCTTGTATAGGACAATTTGAGAGTACTAGATCTCAAGTCCAGCCCTACCTGCCTGAGAAAACCGATTTCTGTTTGTTTTGCCTAACCAAGTTTCTTAGTGGGTAATGTAATGTCAGTTATGTGGTAAAGAAAACAATTTGAACAGATACTTAAGGGTATAATATGTAAAAACAGGCAGTAGACCTTTTCACAGATCTTTTTAGTGACCCAAGTTGGTGATTTTTTTTTTTAAGTAGACTCCACACCCAACTTGGAGCCCAATGTGGGACTTGAACTCAATTCTGAGATGAAGACTTGAGCTGAGGGGTCCCTGGCTCAGTCTTTTAAGCATCTGCCTTTGGCTTAGGTGGTGATCCCACGGTTCTGGGATCAAGCCTTGTATTGGGCTCCCTGCTCAGCAGGGAGTCTGCTGCTCTCTCCCCCCCTGCTTGTTGTGCACATGTGCTCATGCACTCTTCACTCTGTCAAATAAAATTTTTAAGAAAAAGACCTGAGTGGAGATCAAGAATTGGATGGACACTTAACCAACTGAACCACTGAAGTGCCCTTTACCCCTGATTCTTAAATTTGCTGTGGTATCGGGAGTACTGGTGCTTCTGCACATTGGGCAGACTGATGCCTTAAAATTGTCATTAGGGTTTCAGTTAAACTTCATACTCAAATGATATGAAAATCACAAGTAATTAGGCACAGTCTGCGGTTTGCTGCAAGTATTGTTTATTAATCTACCTATTTGCATATGAGCAATAAGTTTTCATTGGAGAAATTTTGAAATTTTAGGATTATAGTTAGCTTAAATAGAGAAACCACTCTTTTTGTAATAGTTCGTAGTACTCTGTGTTTTGAGAGGGGATAATAACGAAAACCATTAATAGCTAATGAGTTGATGGGATAGTGTATTCGATTAGTGAACAGTTCTGTTGATGTTTGTGTTTTCTTGTTTTCCTGTCTTTTCCCTTCGACTTCTGATTATATTCTCCAGAAATGTCTGCCCATTTCATTATGGCTGAGTTTTTGAGTTAATCTTACTTGATTTTGCATTTTATGTCTGATTTTGTATACTTGGTGTCATGTTGGTGTTCTCAGGATCTTTAATCCCAGAAATGTCAGAAGGGAAATTTTAAGGTTAGAAAGGACTTCGGAAGTTTAAATTTGGCAGCACTCTGAACATTTATTTCCCTTTTTCTGCTAAAGAAGTTAGAGTAGGACTTTGGATATTTGGTTGTAGGGTAAAAGCCTCTATAGCCTAGTTCAAAAGTTGAGTGCCTCTTAGGGCTATGGAACGCTGGAAATTCAGGAACAAAAGGCAATTTTGGTTTCTGCTTTCATAGGGCTGTCCTTGAACAAAATCTTCATTTTTTTAAACAAGTACCGATCTCTAAGCGGTGGATGGGTGAGGCTCTTCATGCAGGCTCCTTTGTCCTCCCTCCAGGCAAGGCTTGTTAGTTCTGATAGTTGCTGCTGCCAATGCTGGAGAAAGACTCTTCTTTGGTGTTCCTCTTATCTTTTGCTTTCTCTAGTTGATCACACTGAATTGCCTTCTCACCAGAATCCAGGCCACTAGGGGAAGGTGCGGCTGTGCAAGGGGAGCACTCCTCCCCTTTGTGGGTGCCATTTCCTAGAGCTCCTGGAGTGATTTCTTCTGTTGCAGCAGCTGTGTAGATCATTTTTGTTTTATCTGGAAAGTTGAAAAAGGGTCAGGGGTGGGAAGGAGAGCAACCATTGTTAATGCAAAGCTTGTTCAGTTGAAGACTGCACATCCTATGTGTTGTGTTTTGGGGTTTTCCCCATATGTTTACCACCTATCCTCCCATGACTTAGACTCTGTAGAAGAGCTGTGTTTTCCCTTCAAGATCCTTAATGGTAATACTACTAATAAATATTTATTAACTCTTAATCACTTTTTCTCCCAACTTCTTGGTACAGGCAAGTGCAGTGGGAGAGTTTTATATTTTCAGCAGGGTTGACTTTTGCATTCAGGAGGATAAAGCTTTAGGGGGTCTTCTAAGTGGAGTTTCCATGACCCCCCTTCGGTTACCCCTTTTCCTGCCTGTGTGGAGGGTGGTGAGTTGTAATAACAGTAGTCAGGGTTCTTCATCTATTTTGTCCCCATTTTTGTAGAAGGGTACAGAGCTCAGAAACAAAAGCGAGTCTTCACCCTGAGCACAGCTGCATTAGCTCTGAAGAAGGGCTTCTGAGGTGCATTGTAGCCTTGCAAACTTGGGAACCTGGTTGGTTGGTTTAGAAACTTGCACCTCTCCTATTACTTTTGCGAGATGGAGACTTCAGACTTCATGAGCAACAAATATGAGTTGCTCTCAGGTAAGCATCAGACTAGATTCTTTTCCACAACTCCACTGTAGGTTTGTTTGTTTTTTAAGATTCATTTATTTTAGAGCATGTGCTCAAGCACAGAGGGAGGAGAGAGAATCTCAAGCAGACTCTCCACTGAGCAGAGAGCGGGACGTGGGCTCAATCTCATGACCTTGAGATTATGACTTGAGCCGAAGTCAAGAGTTGGGATACTTAATCAACTGAGCCACCCAGGCACCCCTGCACGCGCTTTTGAAGCATTGCTTATAAAGTTCTGAAGTATGGTCAGCTACTTTCTGGTTTCTTTTTGGCTGCTTGGTAAGATTATATCCTGTTAATTGTAAATCTGCATTTGCTACCATGAGATAATTCCCCCAGGGGAGGTTGTCTCCTAGGTTCTGAATTAATCCTCAGGGTCTAGAAAACATCTTGAAGAAGCCCTCAAGTTCATGGGAAATAAGATCCTCTTGAAGGATTTGAGTGGTTAAGAATATACTGATGTTTAGAATTATAAAATACTGATATCTTACCATTTTTCCTGATTTTAAAAAATGACATTTGCAGTTAGAGGAAGGGATTATACTAGATTATTGTGATAATTACTGTTTATAATAAGCTTATATATTGCATTTTTTTTTCTGTTTAACCAGTTGGAGTCTTTTTTTTTTTTCTTTTTTTCTTCTTCTTCTGGATTATTAGGTTGCATTGCTTTATTATACTTTCTTTGGAGTGGTCCTGGAGTCTAACCTGATTCTAGGACAAGAGTACCTAATCCTAAAAAGATTTTCCAAATTGTGAATAGGGGCCCTTTCAAACAACTACTACCTCACAGCTATATGATATCCAAGATAATTTTCTGCCCTATTTCTTCATTTTGAGTCTTCCTGGTCTTCCCAGTTAAAGTCAAAATTGACTTATTCCCATGGAGGGCAAAGTCCACAGTTCATTCTTCTGGCTAAAAGACCTAGCCCTTGCTCTTTGGAGTCCTTTCCTATTTTTTGGTGCTACCTTGTTCCTAGTGACTTGATAAGAGTTGAAGCCCCATCCACAAGGTCCCTGCCAGAGATTTGTTGGCTGGCAAGGATCAGGTCCAATTATGGGAGAACTCAAAGGAGAGTGATTCAGTACTCACCCTTAGAAGGCTTGATTTTTTCATAGCACCGAAAGATGAAGATCAGGAGAACCCCTTCCCCAAGCTGGAAAATCATGTAGAGGAGAGGGAAGAAGAAAAGTGGTCCAATGACTTCAGGGGGGAATGTCACATTGAGAATGGTGGAACAAAGCTGAACATTTTGGCATCCGGTTTCCATACTGACAGTGCGACTGCACCTATGTAGGTTAAAACAAAAACCCCAATCCTTTACTCCCTCAGAAGGGACATGAGGGTGCATATTCACTTGCCCTTCTCTCTCTCTCTCTCCCTCCCCCCCCCCAAATCACCTAAGACCCAATGAATGAAGGTAGAAGGGAATTTTTTGAGAGCTTTTGAGTAGTTTAGAGATTTACCAATTGTCTACTTCTGTAGGATTGCCAAATTAAAATTTGGACAAATGTCTGGCTGATGAGGGATGAAAGGAAGTTGGTGTGAGCCAGTACAATTCATTGGCTTGTTAAGTTTACGTACAGGGTAGTTGCAGTAGGAACATAAAGTAGAAGATTGAAATGCCTGAAGACCTTGTCCTGTTCCCTGGTTTCTGATTTAAACATCTTTAATTCCAAAACGATAATGATTAAAATTCCAAAACCATAATGATTAAGAAACTTGAGGGACACCTGAGTGGCTCAAGTTGGTTGAGCATCCAGCTCTAGGTTAGGGCTCAGGTCATAATCTCAGGGTTGTGAGATCAAGCCCCACATTGGGCTTTGTTCAGCAGGGAGTCTGCTTGAGATCCTCTCCTGCACCTACCCCTTAACGCTGACTCTCAAATTAAAAAAAAAAAATTGATTCAGTCTCCTCTTTGAAACATAAAAGCTCTTGGTTTTGCTCTCTTGTAGACTAAAGAATGGGATGTTTACATTGAATGAATATTTAATTCATTGAGTTATGTTAGTGTTTTAAGATAGTTACTAAAAATTCTGATACCTGCCTCAGCACATTTATTATGGGGGAACTACTCTGAGGACCCTTGACTATATAGCTGTTTATCTGTCATTGAAGATTGACATCTTGTGGTCATTGACAGCCTTTACTCTGCAACCATGTGCTACATCCTGTAGTACTTTGTACTTTATTAGTGTGGTTCTTAAAATGGATAACTTTTTAAGATGTATTTTTAAAGCAGTTCAGCTTGGTTGGGAGTACTAGGATGCTACTGATGTTTAAGGATCCATAAGAATTTGTCTATGGCTGAAAAGAGGCAACAGTTCCTGAAATGCACTGCACTAGGTAGACTGTGTCTGATTATCCCATAACAGACTGTCAGGATGACTATTCCTGAAAAGAGCCCTGAGTTTGTGAATTGGATTAAATTACAGAGGTCCACAGCCACTTTGACTCTTGGTGCCACTTAGCAGAGCTGTCACTTAGTGGTGTCCACATCAAGACTAATGCCTAGGCAGGTGAGGAAGAATGGGAAAGGAAGATGACCATGAGCACTCAATTATGATGATATTGGGCTACTCCAGTGTGTATTAGCTACCAGATTCAAGCAGGCGGTGGGATTTAGGCTCAGGAGGGGGCACTTTGTCATGAGCTGTTCCTTTTTGGGTTGTTAGATAGATGCCTTTGTTCAGTGTTTCTCACAGTCCAGAGTTCCTTATTCGGTTGATTGATTTATACATGCTGCCAAGAAAATGCCTCCCCCCCGGGTTTTGGATCTTAGTCTTTTCCTGAGAGACCAGGACAAGAATGATGCCCTTGGGCATTGAGATATAACATATCACCTACCGTCCGTTGAGGCGGAATAGAGCAGAGAGGATATAGCCCAGCAGGAAGCCAATGAAAGGCATTAGAGAGGAGGTGGCCAGCAAGTGTGGTGTCATGACAAACATGATACTCTTGCCCACGTTGATGACAGACAGTACTGTTATGGCCACACTTAACAAAAGCATGATGATCGTCCCTCCCTGTAAATGAGAACAGGAAAAAAAGGTGATTAGAAGAGTAGTGGGGGATAGGGAGGAGCAGAGTCTGAGGAAGCATGAATGGGTATCAAAGGTGGAAAATACTTTTTTTTAAAGTTTTTTTTGTTTTGTTTTTTGTTTTGTTTTTGGAAAATACTTTCATGAAAAATTGGCTTTTGAAGAAGAGAGTGCAATATCTTTTTTTTTTTTTTTTGGCACTCTTAATGGGTAGCTAGGAAGCTTGGATGACAGAGACTTAACATTTTTGTTACTGTTGACTGTTACAAGAATAAGAGATCTAGATACTTACCAGCAAAATGAGTTTATTTGGATATAGAGGAAGTGCCAATTTGGGACAAGCGAGCTATGGTGAACCATAGGCAAGTCCTGAGAACACAGGATTGGGCTTTTAGAGAGGAAAAGCTGGGAGAGGCTGTTTTGCGGAGTCGTCATTGGCTGGGCTGTTGCTGGGCAAGGAGTTTTTTTTGGGGGGGGTATGTAAAGTAAGCTTTCTGTTGGGTAATGCAAGTTATGCTTTTGGCCACTGGTAGTGCAGGAGAACTTTCCCTTTGGGGCTTCTGGACTCCCATGTTAAATGAGGTTTTTTCTTTATTTTCTCATTCGATCAAAGTCTGTAGTCAAAAACATTGCTGATCAAGAGATTTTTTTTATATTTAGTGATTGTATCTGCTAAAGTAGCTTTGTCCTCTGGTGCCAGGAAGGACTTTTCTGGGTTTTGTGTCCCGTGTTGGAAAGTACGTAGGTTGGAAACTGTTGAGGCCACATTTGAGTAATAAGGAAGGGTATGAGGGAGAACTCCAAGGCATTTCCCATCTGAGGTCTTTATTTTGACAAGATTGTAAGGTTGGAGATCATCCTGAAGTCTTTGAACTAACATATCTCCTTGTTGGTGTGTTACTTCTGTAGAGATTTGACAGGCAGTAAGTAAAAGTTTAAAAATGATTATACAGCAGAATAATGAGGTTTGTATATTTAATAGTCCTAAACTAGGATCCCAAACCTGCAGACATCCAGCTAAGAGGTCAAAGGACTGATGGTTACAGTTGGAGAAGGTTGAAACAAGGTATGGGAACACCTGGCCATAACAGCTTAACCTGATAGGTCTTGTAATTATAATTTGGGATAAAAGAGAAATTGGTTGGTAGTAAGGGACCTCTAACTTCATGAACAGATTGCAGTGTCTGGTTCCAGATGTGACAGAGTTTCCCCCCTTTTGCCATAGATTGGGCCAAGAAAGGGAGGAAGAAATAAGGTTAAGCAACATTGAGAAAAAGGAATATAGGCCTAATGTAGTCATCTTGGGAAAGCTGTATCCAAGTGTCATCTGTTTAAATTCCTGAAAATTAAATTATTTTTAGATCACAAGTTGATGTACAGGTCCAGTCAGGGTTTGCTGCTTTTTTTTAGATGATATAAAATTCTATTCCTAAGTTTGGTGGCACAACAGTTTAACAGGACCCAACAGGGCATTTTCAACAGGGTTGAAGAGAATCTTTCTTGAGTGGTCTTCTAGTAAATGTAATCTCAGGACTGCAAGGTGTGATGGTTAAAGTCTTCCATCTCTTGGGAGCACACTGTGGAAAGATTACTCTTTTAAAGCATGGTTAACAGACTAGATTTAGAAGGATTAATGGCAGTGACTTTGGCCATGGTATTTGAAGGGTCTCTATGGATTTTGCCAGTTGAGTCTAAATGATGCTGTTAGTGTGTTCAGTTAGCCTGGAAGATTGAGGGTGGTAAGCACAGTGAAAGTATTATAAAAGCCAAACAGCACAGACTTGTCAAAGCCCTGAACTAGTTGAGTGAATATCCTAGTCACTGAAGTTCAAAGGGAAGTTGATGGATGATCTTTTCTAGTAGGATTTTAGCCGTAGAAGTAGTAGCCAATCTACACTGGGAGAGCTTCAGCCCAGTGAAGAAACCTGTAAACCATTAGTAAGACATATTTATATCCAGGAGATGGGAGGAAGCAACATAAAATCTGTTTATCAAACCTCAGAGTCTGTTAGGCGGTTTGAAGTGTTGGGGAACAGCATGGACAGGTTTTCTTGAATTGTATTTTGAGCAGGTGGGGCAAGGAAGATAGGCACCCTTTGGGATCTTGTTAGTATTTTCCCACCAGTATTGGTTCACGAAGGCTTTATAGATTCAGTAATGGGAACTTTGAGTCTCTGGCAGGACTAGGTTATTTGGCTCAAGCCAGAGTTTATTTTTTTAATTGAGCCAACAGTAGATTTCTAATACTGTTTTTCCTTTTCAGGGGCCAATTGTTGAGCATCTCTAGTCAGTTTTTCTAGGTTATCATTTGGGGGAACATCCTTTTGGACCGTGACAGGTTTGGTTGGTGGTTGGTTCCTTTGAGAACAGCATTCATTGCAGAAATGTCAGCAAGGTGGTTTCCTTTAGATTCCAGGGAATCAGGTTTGGAATTCCCAGGGACCTTGATAATGGCCAAGTGGCTGGCGAGAGTATGGCATCTAATAATTCTGGGCATAAAGGCCGTTTTTAATTTTGTCCCCTCCAGAACTGAGGAAGCCTTACTGGTTCCATAGCATTCCAAAGCCGTGAGCTTCTCAAAAGGCCTATCTACTGAGGTGAGTGGTAGTCCCTTCAGGGCTTCCCAACTACGTTTTGAATGAGATTTCCTGTATTTTCACATTATTAAGCACAGCTTCTGGTTGGCACCTCTGGATTGCAGATAGTTCAGTGAATGCTGTGACTCTGAAGGAATGAGACTATTCAGACCTTCCACAGTTTTTAATTACAAATTAAAAGTTTTCTTACAGGGATCCCTGGGTGGCGCAGCGGTTTGGCGCCTGCCTTTGGCCCGGGGCACGATCCTGGAGATCCGGGATCGAATCCCACATCGGGCTCCCGGTGCATGGAGCCTGCTTCTCCCTCTGCCTGTGTCTCTGCCCCTCTCTCTCTCTCTCTCTCTCTGTGACTATCATAAATAAATTAAAAAAAAAAAAATTTAAAAAAAAAAAAGTTTTCTTACAAACTCACTATCTCTGGAGCCTGTATACACATATCTACCATACTACCATCGCTCCAAATATTTTGGAACTGAGAAATTACTCTTGGAACCTGTCGTGCTCGCCTCAGATACCTCCATTATGAGAAAGGACTGCATGCATTTTAGGATGAATTTGATCTCTGGAAGTGCCAAGAGTCCTTTGATGTGAAGCTGGTAAAGGTGGGGATCAAGGTAATGTGATTTTAGACCTCAAGTGATTTATAACCCTTAAAGGGGCAGCTACTTTTTTGAGTGACCTGCAGGCTGGATAATGAAGGAAGTTACCAAGTTTGTGAAATGTTCTGGGTAAAATAAGACAACACCCGAAACAAAGCAGGTCTACCCTGCCCCAGATAAGTGCTATGAAAGCAATATTTATTAGAAACAATGGTATATGTACATTTATTTTAGGATTTGCTTTATTTTACAATTTTTTGACTTGATAGTTGGATCTTACATACCATTTTATTTTTTTAAGGATTTTATTCATTTGAGAGAGCATGAGGTGGAGGGGAGAGGAGCAGAAGGAGAGGGAGAAGCAAACTTACAACTGAGCAGGGACCCTGGGGTCATGGACCAAGCCAAAGTCAGATGCTTAACTGATAGAGCCACCCAGGCGCCCCCTGATTTGACCATTTAAACGTCTTGCCTTTACCAACTGATGTCATGAACTGATTTCATGTACCTCTTAATGCCCAGAATTATTAGATGCTATACTCTCGCCAGGATGGAAAGGACTTTCACAGACCTCCTTGATAACCACACATTTCAAATTATATTAGAAGACTTACCTGATGAACTGCCCCGTTTGCATTTGGATTTCTCCTCTTGGATTTTTCCTCTACTCAGTGACCAAATAGATTCTGTTCTCATTAAAATGTATGTGTCATTGGTTTACAGAAATTCTCCATGAACCCAGAAATCCTCTTCTCTGTGGCATCCACTTTCATTCCCTCACTCTTGTTCATTCTTTGGGGTTGTAGAGTGGTTTTGAGCACAGCCATTCGTGTGACTCCAGTGTGAAAGCTGGCTCTGCTAGTCCCTAGGAGAGTCAGCTTTGCTCACTCAAGGTTTCTGAGAGGTGGACAGCACAGCACCTGGCATGTAAGAACCACTCACTGAATCGTAGCTCCTCTTATTACTCACTGGTAAAGGAGAGGAATTTAACGTCCCAAAGCTTCCTGTCACTCAGTCCTGCCATTTGTCCACAACCTCTTGCTGAGATAAGATGCCATTGGTAGCTGCTTCTCCGTAGGTCGTCATGTTCTTTGTACCTCCTGACTTCACTGAAGCTGTGATGAGTGTCCATTCATGGTCAATCTATCAGCGTGCTAGTGACCCAGGAGGTGAACTGGCTCGCTCTTCCCACAAAGGTAGCCTATACAGGTTGTGACCAAATTAAGATGCTCTCATTTAGGGAGTTGGGGGGATACAGAAAAGGAAGGAGTAAAAGAAAAAAAAAGTAGCGGAAAATGTTAAAAGACAACCGGCAGTGTTAGCCCATGAGCTGGCTCACATCATGAGGCAGAGGGGGGAGTTCACCAGTGGCAGCAGGTAGGGAGAAAGCATGGGAGTGGCTGAGTCACTGTAACAGCAGGACCCTCATTTAAGGGTGGTGGGTGACTTGTGGGAAAAGTGGACCATGTCAGACTGAGGTTCATCAACCTGACCACACAGATTTGAATAATTCACCTTTGCATGGGTAAGCTAAAGTATTTGAATTGCCATTCCAAATAAAGCACCCTTGAAATTGTGTCTTGGCTTACTTAAATGTGACTGCCCACAAGATAATGCAAGTGGTTGAGCAGAGTTTGAACAGATACGTTCTGCCTGAGCCAGTTATCAGGAGTCGGGTATATGGATTTGAAAGTTTCTAGAAGGGTTAAGTGTGGAAAGAAGCAGGGACGAGTGTTAGCTCATTTTTCAGCTTACGATTTACTGTATCTTATGCAAGAGGGAGACTTCATTTGACTCCATTTCTGCTGTTGAGTGATGGACATGGTGATGCAACAGCAACAGGAGAGTGATCAATAATCCTGGGTCTGCCAGGTAAGTTCCCTGGGCCTCCATTATTCTATCTATAAAATTGGAATAACGCAGGAGACTGAACTTTATCCTGAAAGCCTTTTCAGCTTTCAGATCTGAGATTGATGCTGCATCCTCAAAGACTTTTAAAGTTATTCTGAGTTTAAAAGACCTACAGGGATACCTGGGTGGCTCAGGTTGAAGCACCTGCCTTCGGGCCCAGGGCATGACCCTGGAGTCCTGGGATTGAGTCCCATATCAGGCTCCCTGCATGGATCCTGCTTCTGCCTCTCTCTCTCTCTCTCTCTCTCTCTCTCTCTCTCTCTCTCTCTGTTTGTGTGTGTCATGAATAAAGAAAATCTTAAAATACATTCTTAAATTAGTTGTGACTAGCAGTACCGTCCTTGACTTTCTCACCTATAAAGTGGGGAAGAGTAGAGTTGCATTAAATGATAATCAGGGATCCGTTCACATTAAAAAAAAAATTATTTTTCTACTTCCACAAACTATCTTAAATAAGATTAAATGATAGGCACAAACATTTCTGGGCTTTCTCCCCCCACTCATGTGGGGAGTGTCCCATGTGGAGAGAAGGACACGTACAAAGAGAAAGCTGGGCCTGGGGAGGGTGGGGATAGCAAATCAAGAATGGCCTGGAAAGCCACATTAGGGAGTTTATAAAATTTATCTTGGAGAGCATAAGGAACTAATGAGGTGTTTATGGTGGAGAGTCACGGTAAGAGTTTGTACTTTCCAATCTCCATCCTCAGGTTAAAACTAGCTCAGGGAGCCTTCAGGTTAGAAGGCTGTTTCAGTTGGCTTGTGAGAGAAGCTAGTGGTCTGAGTGATAGTACTGCTCTCAGAGATGGGGAGGAATGGATGGATCCAAGTGACACAAGGCAGAACAATTAATTCCCTATTAAGTGAGGGAACATTGAGAACCACTTACTGGTTTTGTGGCTCAGGCACTTGGGATGCCATTCCTTGAGATAATTACATAAGGAGGAGCGGGCTTGGAGAGGAGATGGTTTGAAGACATGGCCCTGAATTTTAAATGCCTAAGGTATATTGAGGTAGATTTGGCAGTTAAGTGGATTCTGGAGTCAGAGGAGAGTTGAGGGCTGAAGGTGGTGTTTTGGAAGTCATCAGCTTCTAGATGGTCATTGATATGGACCAGATGATCTGGTGGGGAGACCCTGAGTTTAGGGTAATCTGGCAAAAGCAGAAAGCTTCGGCTAAAGACAAGTAACTTTTACCAGAGGAACTCAATAGGGAGTCCAAAAAGAGGTGCCAAAGAGGTGATAGGAAAGCAGGAGAGACTAGTTAACAAAGCTGAGGGATGAGGCTGCTGAGAAGGAAGCAGTGGTTCGCTCTACCAAAGGTGGCTAAAGAGTTAAGGATGAATTAAGAAATGTCTGTTGGGTTCGGCAAAAAGAATCGGTCGTCATCATGCTGAGTGGCTAGAGACCAGGGAAGAATTCAGGTAACTGAGACTAATTGTGGAGGGCCTGTCACTTGTGAGAGCAGCCCTGGTTGGTATGGTGCCAGTCAATGGAAGGTGTGCGGGGCGGGTGCAGGGAAGAAAGGGAAGTATTGGAGCCCAGTAGGGATTTTTGTTTTAAAGACACGTGAACCTGTATTGATACTGATTGTGAGAAATCAACTGATAGACTTTAGAGATGAGAGCAGAGGTGGGGGAGGCTGTGGGGCTTGGGGGGTCATAATAAAAGATCTCTGAGAAGCAAGAGTGGAGAGAATGGATGATGCCATCTAGAGCTGAGGTGAGGTGATCGAACATGGACAGTAGGGGGGATGATTTTTCCAGATCTTCCAGCAGGGTGGGAGGGGTTGCTGTGGCCACTGTATTACGACTGGGCCAGGGCAAGGGCAAATCTATCTTGTATGAGGATGGTAGTGTGAGAATTGAAAAGTCCTGACAACCTGACTTGCAACTTCTTTATCCTAGGCCCAAAGCTGCTGCCAAGTCTTGGGCTTCCAAGCAGCATGCTCTGCAGGGAGGACGCTGTGGCCCAGGACAGAAATCTGAGGCAGGGAAAAAAACAGGCTCTTAGGGAGGGTGTCAGAATGCAGAGTCCTTACTGAGGTGGAGCATGGAGCCCAGGCCTTGGGGGATGAGCAGTGAGCTGGAGGAGGAGGAGACCGACAGAGACTGAGCTCCAGGGTCTCAAAGTAGGTAGAGGTATCACTGAGGCACTCCCAAGAGTCCCATGATTTTTCTGAGGGCAAGGCAGTGGCACGATGTCCTGTGTGTGACTGTGCTCCTCCAAACCCCCTGGGGCCCTACTCCCTTCTTCCCATCCGACACCTGAAATGCTGGGAGTGCATATACTACCTCTCCCTGTTCTCTTGTCCTCTGGCTTGTAAAGTTGGCTGTTTGCCCTCATCCCCCCTGAGTTCCTCTCTCCAGGCGTCTCCCCAGGCTGACCTAAGTCCTACCCTTTCTCCATGGTCTCCTCAAGCCTGTCCCTGCCAGGAAGCTATCCTGAACCCCTGCCCCTCCCTAAACCCATCTTGCATTCAGCCAATACCTAGTTGTACACTGTATTTGATTTTCTCGTGTGTTACTTCACTTTCTGCTAATATCAGACTTGGTGACATGAAACCTCAGAGTGTAGCATAAAACCTAGCATCTAGTAGGTATATAATACAAGTTTTTTTTTATTATAAAGTAATGATTATATAATTGTGTGTGTCATTTTACTTTTTGCTCCTAACTTTACAGCAGTATTCTAGTGTACGTTACAACCCCATGAGGTAGGTGTACCAATTGTAGACCCTTTTGTTTTTCCAACAAGGAAGGAAACTGACAACAGAAAAAGCCCAATGATTCTCCTCCCCAAGCAATACACTGAGATGATGGTGGTGGTCTTGCTCCCTGCACAGGCAGGTCCCCAGGTTCTTACCTTTTTGATATAGCGTACATACTGTGGCCGTTTGGCTTTGAGGAAGATCCCAATGGTGCAGGGAATGAGAACCAGGACTAGTGATAACACAATGCCTTTGTAGGGTACCTTGTCCTTCAGATCCCCATCATAAATCCCCTTGGAGTAGATATACAGGAGGAGGGGCATCATGCCCAGGGCAAGGAAGGTGGAGCAGGTGGTCATCACGATGCTGGGATGGAGAAGCAGGGAGAATACAGAGAGCCCATTAATAGACTATTCTGTTGAGTACCTGTTACATTCCAGGCACTGTGCTAAGCATTTTACATTAATTTCTTTTTTCCAGTAGGCTTAAGAGATACAGGTTGATATTCTCACGTTCTTTGCTTTATGGTAAATAGAGTGAGTCCCAGAACCTGAAAAATATATCTTCTCAGCTCTAATTTGTATCCTAATTGCACTATTATCATTTCCATTTGGAATCCAATACATGTTAGCCCCAGAACCTACAGGGAGGGGCCTTCCAGAAAGGCCAACTGAAAGAATGAAGCTGCTAGGGAACATTGGTGGATTTGTGGATATTCATGTGACAATATATGGCTCTGGCTTCCATTCTTGTGGGAGGGTTGGCCATGAGGGGTTGATAAGACCCCAGGAAAGCCCCACCAAGTGTGTGTGTCTCCTCCCCACAGCTCTATCTACACTTCTTTGTTTCCATAGAGGTGAAGTAAACTTCAGTGAACACCAAGCATGGCCTAGGTCAAAGGATCCAAAGTAGCCATCAAGGACAGCAACAGGTAGAGGTATCACTAGGAATAAGTAGATGTCAGAAGAGAGAGACCCTCAAAGAATACTGTGAGCTAAATAATGGGAAAATCCTTTTTCCATGAATATCTAAAACACCTAAGCACATATTTGAGCTTGTAGGAAAGTTCAGGAGGTTTACAAGTACCAGCAACAGGATGCAAAGGAGTTGGTCGGTGAGCTAATGCCAAAGCTGCCATGTGTGGAGTGGGTAGGGGCTGGAGCGTTAGTCATGGTAATCTGGAGGCTTAAGTTTTCATGCCAAAGGGAAGGACCAAAACTGAAGTCTATGCTAATGAGAAGAGGAGAGTGGAAATCAAGAAATCAATAATAAATATTGGAAAAGTTAAGTAATCGTGTCAAATATAAAATCATAATGAAAAAATATTTGGGACAGAGTAATCAACACTTTTTAAAACACGTGGGAGATGACCTTGGATTACACAAGTTTCTTAGAAATGGCATCTAGAGGGATGCCTGGGTGGTTTGAGCGTCTGCCTTTGGCTTAGGTCATGATCCTAGGGTCTGGGGATTGAGTCCCACATCAGGCTCCCTGCAAGGAGCCGCCTTCTCCCTCTGTGTTTCTGCCTCTGTGTGTCATGAATAAATTTTTAAATGACAGAGTGCGCGCGCGCGCGCGCGCGCACACACACACACACACACACACACACACACACACCCAGTGACTTGATCAGTTAAAAACATTTGTGCTTCAAAGGACACTATCCAAAAAGATACACCAGTGGCTAATAAGCGTAGAAAAAGATGCTTGACTCATTAGTCATTAGAGAAATGCAAATCAAAACTATAATGAAATCACCATAATCACTAGTATGGCTACAATAAAAGTGATGGGTAGTAAGTCTTGGAGAGAATATGGAGAAATCGGAATTTTCCTGTGTTGATGGGACAGTGACCAACCAGCAGTTCTACTAGGTACATAGTCAAGAGAAGTGAACGCCTATATTGACACAAAAACTTGTATACTAATGTTCATAGCAGCATTATTTGTGATAGCCAATATGTGGAAAGCAATAAAGATACCGACTGATGCATGGATAAGCAAAATACGGTGTGTCTCTACAACCGAATATTCAGCCCCAATTAACAGTGTGTTAAGTATTGGCACATTACCACATGGATGAACCTGGAAAACGATATGCTATATGAAAGAAGGAGAGGGATCCCTGGGTGGCGCAGTGGTTTAGTGCCTGCCTTTGGCCTGGGGCACGATCCTGGAGACCCGGGATTGAATCCCACGTCGGGCTCCCTGCATGGAGCCTGCTTCTCCCTCTGCCTGTGTCTCTGCCTCTCTCTCTCTCTCTCTCTCTCTGTGACTATCATGAATAAATAAATAAAATCTTTAAAAAAAAATGAAAGAAGGAGAAACATGAAATCCCACACATTGTATGATTCCACTTACATAAAATCTATAGAGACATGAAATAGATTAGTGGTTGCCAGGGGCTCGGGTGAGAGGAATGTGTAGTGACTAACTGGTTTCTTTTTGGAAAGCTTAAAATGTTCTGGAATTAGCTAGTGGTAATAGTTCTACAACCTTGTGAATGTACTGAGAACTAGTGAATGATACACTTTCAAAGGGTGAACTTTATGGTATGAATTATGTTAATAGAAAGCCTGGAGAGCAGCTAAAATATTACTCAGAAAATTAAATATTATTAAAATAAATAAAATTTTTTTTATTTATTTGAAATAGAGCATAAACAGTGTGGTGGGGTAAAAGAAGGCGAAGCAGGCTTCCTGCTGAGTAGGAAGCCAGATGAGGGACTCGATCCCAGGACCCAAAGATCATAAACTAAGCTGAAGACAGATGCTTAGCCAACTGTGCCACACAAACACCCCAAGGTAGCCTTAAACTTATATAGGAAGAGCAGAAGACTAGAAATGAGCTAAGTATCTTACTCAGAAAATTAGAAACAAAGTAAACTCCAAGAATATAGAGGAAAGAAAGTATTGAGAGAATGTATTTTTAAAGATATGTAAATTCAGAGGATGGGGCACCTGGGTGGCTCAATTGATTAAGTGTCTGCCTTGACTCAGGTCATGATCCCAGGTCTTGCGATGGAGCCCCACATCAGGCTCCTTGCTCAGCGGGGAGCCTGCTTCTCCCTCTTCCCCCTGCTCATGCACTCTCTCAAAATCTTAAAAAACATAAAACATCATTTTTTAAAAATAAATTTATTTAAAATAAACCAAGACCAGTTCCATTGCCAAGTCCAAGCAAAGACACCATTGGCCTGACTAACCAAAGAAAAAGAAGGCACAAATTGATTTTATCAGGAATGAAAAAGGGAATGTAATTATAGACACATTCAAGATTTTAGAGAGTTCTAGAAGAAACTGAGGCCAGTTTTATACTTTCCTATTTCAACTTGGATTACATGGACAATTTCCTGGGAAAAATGATCTATAGAAGCTAACTCAAAATGAAGCTGAAAACCCAAATCAGTATCATGAAGTAGTGAAGACCTATCCTCCAAAGCCCACACACTATAGTTTTACAGCAGAGTTTGATTAGACATTCAAAGTACAGATGATCTCAATATTCTACAGAGAATACAAAAAGGGAAAGCATGCCCTGATTTATTGTATGTGAATATTGTAATTTTAGAATCAAAGCTGCAAAAGAACAATATGAGGAAGGAAAGTTAGAGGCCTTTCTCACTTATGAACAAAGAAGAGAAAATCATAAATAAAATGTTATCAAATCTAGCAATTCCTTTACAAAAACAAAGAATAAGATGAGTTTATCCCAGCAATGTAATAGTGGGTTAACATTAGGCAATATACTGACATACATCACTGTATTATCACATTAAAGAAAAATGGTATGATTGGTTCATAGCTAAGAAAGTTGTCATTCAACAAAATTCCGTGTTCACCCATTAAAAAATAAGCACGTTAGCAATAATGGAATTCCTTAACCTGAAAAGGGTATCTATTAAAAGTCTATAGCAAACAATAAACTTTATGGTGAAAAACTAGAAAGTTTCCTTTAAAGAAAAATAAAGCAAGAATACCTGTTATCATCACCTCTATTGTAAATCATACTATATGTCTTTACTAGCAGAGCAAAACAAGAAATAGAAACTGTATAGGGATGGGGAAAAAACCTAAATTTTCTAAACTAAACATGCCAGGGACACCTGGGTGGCTCAGTGGTTGAGTGCCTGCCTTCAGCCCAGGGCGTGATCCTGGAGTCCCAGGATCCAGTTCTACATTGGCTCCCTGCCTGAAGCCTGCTTCTCCCTCTGCCTGTGTCTCTGCCTCTTTGTGTGTGTCTCTCATGAATAAATAAATAAAATATATATTTTTAAGATTTTATTTATTCATGAGAGACACGGATTGAGAGCGAGAGAGAGAGAGAGACACGAGGCAGAGGGAGAAGCAGGCTCCATGCAGGGAGCCCGACATGGGACTCGATCCCCGGTCTCCAGGACCACGCTCTGGGCTGAAGGTGGTGCTAAACCACCGAGCCACCCGGGCTGCCCAAATAAAATCTTAAAAAAAAATAAAAATAAAAAAATCCATAAGCTTTTGAATACATCAGCAATATGAAAAAGTCCATTGTGTCCTGGCAAACTGGGAAAAATAATTAGGACAGTATTTCTTTTTCCCCACCCCATCCCACCATATGCTAGGACATGGAGTTTTTAAAAAGATACCATTTAGCAGATGTAACTACATGGACTATGGTGAGCCTTTTGTATATAATTGTTGAATCACTATTCTGTATACCTAAAACTAATATTGTGTGTCAACTATCTGTACTGCAATTAAAAAAAGAAATGCCATTTATAATATTCACAAAATCTATGGAGTATTTAGAAATCTAAATACCATGCAGGGGGATCCCTGGGTGACTCAGTGGTTTAGTGCCTGCCTTTGGCCCAGGGCGTGATCCTGGAGTCCTGGGATCGAGTCTCGCGTCGGGCTTTATGCATGGAGCCTGCTTCTCCCTCCTCCTGTGTCTCTGCCCACCCCCCATGAATAAAAATAAATAAATAAAAATTATAAAAACATTAAAAATACCATGCAGGATCTTTTTAAAAAGATTTTATTTATTTATGAAAGACAGAGGCAGAGACATAGGCAGAGGGAGAAGCAGGCTCCCGTAAAGAGCGCAATGTGGGACTCGATCCTGGGATCATGCCCTGAGCCAAAGGCAGATGTTCAACCGCTGAGCCACCCAGGCATCCCCCATGCAGGATCTTTATAGAAGAAATTATAAAATTCATAGAAAGGTATAAAGTCCCATCCACCCCCAAAAGAAAAGCTACACGATTTTCATGGATGTGAAGATACAATATTCTAAAAATGTAAATTTTTAATCTATTAATTTAATCAAAATGCCAGAAATATTTTTTGTAGACTGGAAACCATCTCCAGAATCAAATGAATAGTAAG